GGCTGCTCCGAGCGCTGCACGTTCTCGGGCTGCTCCGAGCGCTGCGCGTTCTCCGGCTGCTCCGAGCGCTGCCCGTCCCCTGGCTGGTCTGAGCGCTGCACGTCCGTTGGCGGTACCGTGGCTGGGGGTTTTCGCTGTGCTGAAACAGCGCTCGTGCCGGGCGATGCGCTCGCGGTAGTGCCATCCACACGTGTCGAGTTCCCACCTGCAGCAAAGGGTACCGGTCAACACGTACATAGAAAAATAAGCACAACAACAGAACACCACCTTCATCACCTGAAGGTACCGGCGTGAGAGAATCGTCGCCCATACCGCCGAAGTAGTCGTCCGGGTCCTTTCCGTAACCTGTTAGACCCATCGTCCAAGGTATAATGCTCCCATACCTACCAATCTACGACGATTCGATTCTCTCGATCTGTCAGAGCCCTGCGCGATGTCTGAAAGCTGTGAATCCGACCGCGCCCGACGCTTCCCTCCCGCAACAGGTGACTTGGAACGACCGTCTCCATCCTCCATGTCCACATCATCGTTCACCAACTTCCAAGCACGGTGCTCATCTCGCTGAGCAGTTATGTGATGGATCGACAGCACGTCATCATCTGACGTGTACTCCTCGAATCGACCCTGTCCAGCCGCAGCCGCTAATAGCCATAATCATTAAGCAAGACGTGACATGGGATGTATAAAACGACTAACATCCCAGGCCAAAATCGTCCAACCACGTCTTGCAAGATGCCATCTCTTCCGAGTCGATGAATCCTGCCCACCTTTTGACGTACATCGGCAATAAGGCGCGCGCGGAGGCGCCGACCGCGACCTGAAAGATCAAAGACCATAAATCTTGCTCGAGCATTACCAAGGCTTCTGGGCGGCCCATATTACCGGCCGCCATCCACGCCTGGTGAGAGGTGAAATAATCGTACTCGTGCGTGGCCAATGGAGGAGCGTACCTTAAACAACTCATGAAACTGCATCGGACTAGAATAAAGACGGCTCCAAAATAACAGGAACACAGGGCTAATAAACACCGCGGCTCCGAGCGCAAGATAACTCAACCGCGACTTGAACCAGCTAGCAACATTTGCTCTGCAAAAAAATCATCAATCGCGCATAACGCAATGTATACAAGAAGTGCGGAAGTACTGAGGAACGTCCTTGTAAATGTCGCTGAACACGATCGGAGATTTGCCCTTCTTCGCATTCTATGGAACAGTGTGTTAGCTAAGTCACAATCCCACGCAAAAATATGACTCACCAGCACGAGATATCCTAATGTCATGGCCGCCATCTCGATGTTGAGCACAATGGCCAAGTACTTAGCCTGTCCATCAGATCGCATGATGGATGGAAGAAGATGCTCGAAGGCCTTCGTCAACGACATGTTGTCCATCTTTCGGAACAGCGCAAGCATCACCCTGCTGTCATGAATACCAGCAAGCTCAGCCGTGTGTTCGGGTCGCTGCACAACGTCGACCTCATCGCTTTCAACGCGGCGTTCCGGAGCTATGATACGAGCTCCGACGTTGGCAGAGCTTCCCGCTCCAGAGCCGCCGGCACTTGCTAGTATAGTTCTCGGAGCGTTCCCATCCTGAAATGGCTTGATTCAGAGTAGACGCTACGCATGAAGCTGAGACACCAACGGCAGATTCGTTAAGGGCAGTGCCGACGTTGATTACCGAAAATGATTTGGGCAACGACTCCTGCAAGTTGACGCGCATCGACAACCAGGTCTGAAACGAAGATCAATCAAAGTATAATAATAAACCGAAGGACACACGCACAGCCAACGACGTGCTCATGATGGCCATATACTCCGCCGGGGAGTAAGGAAACCGGGTAGCAGACGAGCAGTCAAATTTACTGAGCACGACCATGACATCAAAGATTCTGTACAGTATCAACCATGAATGGCTGTCCGTGAAAGCTAGACGACTGGATGCTTGGATTGTATTGAACCAGTGAGGTGGCGGGTGAGGGGTCGATGACTCAAGACCCATGCGCCGAATGAGGAGCTTGAGTTCCTTATTTGTCGTGTCTTGATATATCCCTTCCCTCTCCCACCAGTCCAGGTACTCTGCGAAGTCCTGCATCGACATGAGGCGTTGCGCTTGCCAGCAGTTGACAGCACTCACCAGGAGAACGTCATTCTCAACCGCAACACCAGCAGCACTCTGCTGCTCGCGCACCCAATCGGCAAGACTGTCAGCGCCGCATAAGGCCGGACAGGCCCACGGTAGCTTCTTCATCAGAGATGACATTTTCCGCAGGCACGGCTTTGGGTCTTGCGCGCGTAACTGGTCCGCCAATGCCTTCACGCCCTTGTCACCGAGGATGACCCGGACATTGTACGTCTTGCAATCCGCAGGGTCAACGCTGTTTCCCTTCTTCCGAGCCATAGTGAGGATGAGAGTTAAAGACAACCGGGAGCGCCTGACACGTAACATGCGCTACGCCGTCGGCAATCCCCGATTGATATCTCACGCATGAGCAGACGATCTCGTCGCGCAACGAACACGTGGCCTTACAAGTTCTCACCAGCCGCTCGGTCATAAACACAGCCTTGGCAACGCCCAGATGGCACGTCATAGACTTTAATAAAGTTAGATATAGCACTATCCCGCTTTCCGCCGGCTTCCGTTGCCCTAGGTCAGAACACGCGTCACATGAATCCGGCGCTCACAGTACGAATGGCAACAACAGATCATGATGCCGCTCTCACCCCTATCTACATCTAGCAATGCAACCGACGCGTAGAATAATACCTTGCCGAATACCATCGCCAGGGCCCGTCCACTACACGTACGCATACAATGAAACGCGCATATATTGACGATCCTCACCGGAATGCAGAATAGCATGGACGTCCGAAGGTTCTTACCTGGCGGGGATCGTTGTATCGAACTCGGTTCGGTGTTCCAAGATGGCACTAGGATTAACCCCAATAGCGTATTCCCGTCGAAACTACTGCATACATGTCGATGCAAGGGCGACTGCGCTTCAGACTCGTCATGTGTATGCGTGAAGTACGGGGGTTTTTGCGTAGTGACTTGCGGTTGCGGCGCGCTGTGCTCTCGCGAGGTACGTATGCAGGCAACTTATCCTAGATCCGCCGCTCATATCAGTATACAGCAAATGACTGCTCCAGACTATGACAGGCTAGAGATACGAACAACGATCCACAAGGGGAACGGTACGCGTCGTCCAGCACAACAAACGGCTTAGGCTCACAGCACCCAGGTCTATTTGCGACTGCTGCATTTGAGGAAGGCGAGATAATAGCGGAATACACTGGGATGTGCACGATCGAGGCGGAGCAGCTTCAAAGTACCCAGTGCGTTGAACGTAAACTATGCCGTGACTGTCAATGAGCTTTCATATAGACCCTTGCTGCTATCAAAGCACCCTTCCAACTCGATAGCGCATTACTACGCTCAGTCAACAATCAGGACAGGTCACGCAGAGTTCCGTGCCAACCAAAAGTGGCAACTAGATGCCATCGTCGGCGAATGGACAGGCGATCCAGTGCAAGCAGAGGTCTCTTACGCAACAAAAAACGGCAAGCGTACGTATGGGATGACGGATCAATCATATGCTAAAATTACATTTAGGCTCTCAAGACCGGTCACCTCACAAGTTCGAGCGCTACCTAGTATCATGGAAGAACCATTTAGGTCAAACTTGGGAGAATGAGACCACTCTCGCAAACACAAAGCAACTTGAGGATTGGAAGGCGTTAAGGCCATCGCTGTCGAACTCGCATCGCGGGAGGCATGGGATGAACATTGCATATGTTATGAACTGCGGCAGATACCGATCAAGACTGTGTTGCCGCCAATGCAACCGCTACAACGCTTGGGAACCCATAAAGCTGACCAATGCCGAGGAATACGGAAATGTGAGCGCGACTTCGTCAGCTTGAAATTAGCACTAAATTACAACGTCAGTTATCAAGAGAGGCGGTGAGCGATATGCCATTCTAATGACCACTACTGACCATGCCCGGTAAGAACCACGCCTGCAAGAGAAAAAACAACATGGAAGCATTCTCGTTCGGATACGGCGCCCAGCAAATTCCAGTACCATGTATAGGTCTTCGAACAGTAAAGCCAATACAGCCAGGCGACGAACTCACATTTCAGTATTGGCCGTGCGATTTGCTAAGCGATGTGAGTCGGACCAAAATACACGATAGAGTTCTGACAAAGGTCATAGGACGAGTGCTCGGCGCTGAAGCAGGAGTCATATAGACACAACCCGAACCCATGTCGCTGCGAGAGTGACAACTGCACCGGTTGGATCACGCAGCCGGCAGAATCGATTCTGCGAATTTGCAACGTCCGCGAGGACATTGTTAGAGAATTGACTGGCATGTAAATATTATACCGGCTACATGTCGACAAGTCGCGAGACCAGACAACATCGAGATCATGACGCGATTAACACTGCATTGTGATGCCACAACGGTCAATAAAAAGCGTAGATACGGCCCTGTTACTAGCTATCAGATCCTGAACAAGTCGCACTGTTCACGAGACGCCTCACATCGTGCCATTCTATATACCATTTCTTCAGATAAAACGCCGCCTTCCCTGGTTCCCTAGCCGAACCAACGTCCACGACCGCTAATACAGAGATCAGGAACATGAACAAGACAACAGCTATAGGGATGTCACCGGCTAAACAAGCTCCTGACAAAACTTCGGTATGGTCACTTTGAATGCGGCACAGTGGGCCGAATTCGACATTCCTAGCAAGACACGTCAGCAAGTTCATGACATAGCTTAACACAAACCTCACCCAACCGATGCATCGACATGCCCACTGCGTTGTAATGACACTAATTCGTCCGACGAATAAGTCCAAGACACTAGAACGTCGGGAGCCTAATAAATGAGAATAAGAACGTCAGCTCCCACGGGCCACCGCAACGTACTGGGCCGTGGGTAACGGTCATCTTCTCTATCCGGGCAACCCATACGTGGGACCACTCCAAGTCAGGCGTATGGGATACGCGAAGTGACGAGCGCTGAGCGTCGGAAGAGAACATGACGACACTAAAGACCCGATGAGCACGGGCGACGTGGACACAAAAATGCCATAACTAATCCCCGACGTGGAAACAGGTCTTGGCCTTATTTCCGTGGACAAAATCTATGAAACAACCCACGTCGAATCCAGGCTCCGAAACGGCCTGGGCGACGCCGCCCTTAACCCGCATAGGACAGCTAGAGTAGCAGCCGCGGCGAGTAGTAGGTGGGACCAACCGCGAAAAATCAAACATGAAAGGGGAAGGAAAGAGGGGTTCGGATGACTGTGACACGTGTGAACTACAGGCAATTCTTTATATCGGTCCGATACACACTCTCATGCTATGCCACGCGAGCCACCATCTGACGGCGTCTTCAATCATTCCACGTATCACGATCATTGCGATGCAGATTTTGGGCAGCGAATGCGCGCAGTACTTAACATCATTTCAGCCCTGTATCGATATTCACACCCTAACTACATGTATGTATGCGCATCCCGATTCAGATATTCGCACGACGACGCGCATCGGCCAGCTGACCCTCTACCAATGCCAGCCGAGCGCAGTTGGCCTGCAACAGTTTCGGATGCTCCTCCTTGATGAACGTGTCCACCCACTCCACAGCATCTGCCTCCTCATCGAACCCTCTACCGCGCGCGTTCGGAAACTTGCGGATATTTTCCAGCATAGCCTTACTTCCGGCAAATCAACAACCAGAAGAACCTGCATGGGCAAGTACATACTGCGTAGTTACGATCCCCGATCCATCACGACCGTTCCGGTACCCGTAGAACTGGAACTGGTCAGTGCCAACCGGAAGAACCTGACCGTTGCGACCGACGAACGTCGCCGGGCGGGCTTTGGACAACGTGTATGAGCAACACATATCCTGCGTATAACAATGACTGACATACATGGATTGGGGGTGGCATCAACAACGGGAGTAGACATATTGCGATGATGACGGTCAAGAGGGAAAACCAGACGACCTGATAAGGGCCCGATCTTGGCTTATAACCGTCACGCGTCGTGAGAACGCGTGACCAAACCCACGACGTGGAACTGCACAGAATCTTCTACCGCGCACGATCAATCAACACCATGTCGCTTCCATAAGTAGATGAAAGACGTCGCACCAAGCTCGGACCTTAAATTATCAGAGCTGGCAACCGCAACGATGCCATCGACCATGGACAACGTACCCGATGAGACCTACCTCGCCATACTAAGACTGGTATCAGTTTTCGACAGAACGAGGCTGCGACAAGTGCGTATCGACATTCGCGACGTGCTAACACTCGCTGACTTCCGACAAGCTCAATCGACGTACAAAGAACGTCTTAGACGAGGACGGTGAACATATTCTACAGGTAGAAGTCGCTAAGAAAGGGCTTATGCCTCAATACGGTTCCGAGACCGCACCCCTCCATCACCGAAGGACGACGCTGGCACAGCACACCGGCCAGTCCCAGCATGGTGCAACCGCTCAAGTACTCGCCCTCACAACAAAAGACGTTCACATAACTCAGTACAAGGCGCGGCAAGGGATATTGTCGTGCATAGTGCAGCCTTCCACCAAGGGCCGCGCGAACACCTCTTCGTTACTACTATACAAACTGATCGCGGTCGCGGGCGGTTCCACGAGCCACACACCTTTTCTGCGGATCGACACAACGAACCGTCGTGTACACGAATACCGTGTGGATGTGGCCAACGATCTACTGGTACTATTCTACGAACGAACAGATGAGTTAGCACCGGTTACCTGCCATCACAACCAATATCTCATCGACGTAGACCAGGTTGGATGATAGACGTCCTACAACTATCATCCGGGTTGCCGCATCCTCTCGTAACGTCTACGACGACGTATGAGTTATTCACACCGGACCCCGTTGCAAGAGACAAGCCGTCGAGGATCGACGTGTACGGGGAGCTTCTCAGTGTACGGATAGTAACGTCATCGGGCGATACCAGGATAGTTGTGCTCGACTGGACGGTCGGGATCGAGAGCGCTGTACGTTCCCACGACTCAACTAAGCTGTGTTATATCCTGATGACATCTACAGTTCTACGCCTCCAACTTCAAACACATAGCGGACGTCATGGTTCTTACAGGGAAGCTCATCCTCATCCTTGACGAAGCCGGTATACTGGATTTGGTTTCCATCCACCGAGACGAACACGGCAGGCTAGCTCTGGGGCAGTGTGGACATCGCCTACGCATGCCAGACGACCAACTACCCTACGGATGCGGCTTCGTGAACGCAAGACTGTATTACGACCACCACCGCACCAAACCCGCCGGTAACGGATCAAACCCATTCCTGTCGTCAGACCACTGGCTACAGGATCCCGACGAAGGGCTGTATGTTGTATGTCTCGAATTCGAAGATAAAAAGGGTAGAGGTGGCCTGATGACTATCATCGGTACACTTCAAGGCCTACGTCGAGTGGCGGCAGAGAACTTCGGAAATCACGACAACGGTTCACCATACCCTTCGCTGGCCATAGCAGTTAACTCTGGACACCCACCATTCGATTGCGCGTTGCTGTGGATGTCATCGACGTGGGATAGTTGGTGCATTGATAATGCTATCATCGTCTCCGACCAAATACCTCAACTACGCAGTATCTGCAACGGAGTTGTAGCTGGACGAGCAGTAGATTGGTACTATGGCTACGGCAACCAAGGAGAACGTGCACTGCGTACTACACTCCGACAGGAGAGAAACCCTGCCGGAGAGAGTAACTTCATACTTGGAGGTGACCACAATCACAGCGTAGCCGTGTACATTAACTCACATCGTCGCAGTCAGAGACACGACTCGACCGATCTATCTGCACCAAGGCGCGTGTATCATGTTACAGGCCGACGTTGGCTACGTATACGTGAAAGTAAGCGTTACCAGCGACAATCCCATGCCCGATTACTCACTCGAGATGCTCCCTGGTGCAGATATTACCAGGCGGGCTGAGCGTAACGCGGAGGCTGCCCAAAGGCACCGTGAGCACGTGACGACCATCCCGACCAAACCGTCTGCTCGTGCACGAATGACGTCATAGTTGCACCCAACGCACGGCGCTTAAAATACTTACAGTTGCTGCATTCCCGAAGCGTCATACATAACCCCTGAAGTTGATATATACAGCCATTACAGGAGCTACGATATTAGGAAATAACGTGGACTGTACCGAGCAAGAGGAGTTTGACTCATGGCGAACTTCCATTGAGCAAGTGACGTCCACAGACGTTGGTAATGAGCACCGTGTCTTACGAAAAGCTCTCTTGTGAAGGACGAGTAGCGAACAGGCTTCCCCAGATGATATTTAGGGCCAGAAACTCGGTACACTGAGGATGATAGTGGTCCCAACTCGGAACTCCGGGCCTCGGCGACCGCCATGGCTGTGCTAGAGAACACCTCGAACGCTGTCGGCTTCTTGCGCTGCTGTGCAGTTACGGTTATCGACGACCGGTCGAGGCTTGAGGTAATCTTTTATCCTGGATAAGTGAGCCGTGTCCGTCGGCCGCTTAACTCCCCGTAATACAAGTTCGAGAGGTGCGGATTCGGGAATCGACCGTAGCAAAGGCAACAATTGCCCAATAGCCGACGATCCGCTCCACGAAGATGTGGCATACAGGATAAGCTTGTTCAACGGCGCCGCTAAATGTACGATGGACCAAACCGCACGCTCGTCAACAACGTGCAATTCCTGCAACGATTTGAAGAGCTGCATGAATCGCCAATCGTCTCCAGTGCATAACAAGGTCCAGATTCCCGATCGCGAACGACTACACAAGCCCATCAAGACGACCTTGCTGACCAAGTCTCGCACAGCTTCCAGGTCCAGCAGGAACGGCGACGTGTGTAGACCTCGCATGACGTCCGCCACGGACGATCCATCGCAGGGGACGTGACTATAGAGCCTAGTTAAACCCTTATCGGAAATCACAAGGTTAGGACCTTCTGGGGGGTTTGATGAAAGGCCATATTCGTCCTGTAAGCCGCAGTAGTGGTGTGGGGTGTAGGGAACCTGACGTTGCGGACCATACGTGACCCAGGTAAAGTCTCGCGACGACTCGACGACGACATCCAGAGTTTCTTGGAAAGGTAACACCGACGAGTACCATGCCCACGACGGCGTAGGATCCTCAGCGCCGATGCGTGTAATGATCGTCAAGTCCTCTACACTAGACAGTTCCAAACATTGAACAAGAACGCGAATAGACTTCCAGTCCACGCTACGGACATGGATCCTGCGGAGGTGAGCCAGCTGGGCTACGTTTTCCAAAAATATTGGGTCCACCTCCGAGAAGACGACGTCATCAAGACGAAGTTCGCGTAGTGACTGAAATGTATTCAGCGCAGATAGAAGACGAACACCGTCAATAAACGCTGGGCGACTCCATGAAGGTTCGTATGAGTACCCCTCCGTACTGCCTTCCAACGCAACAAGACCCATGATATAGATAGTCTTCAGACACGGGGCGAAGAACGTTGGAACGCGGGCTTGTGACTGACTCATGAGCGGCATCTTGAGGTGCTGTAACGACGGAAAGTTTTGCCCGTCGAACGCCTTCTCCCAGTTCATTCCATTTAACGGAATGTTGTCATCGTCAGGCGGGAACGGGAGCACTGTGCCGGTACCGCTCAAGAACGTCGAAGTGATGCTCTCTGCCGCAAAAAGCATGCCGTGTCGAGGTGAAGAGACGTCGTCAAGATCCGCAAGGGGAGAGGATATGTGCGTGGCAGCGTCGATGTAACGATCGAAATCTATCTCCGTCCGTAGCCCTTGTGCGCGTGCATGTATGCATGCCACTGCGTTGAAGGTAGGAAATGCCATGAGCGAGTTCCTCCATAAAGACGGTTCAGCCAACAGTGTAGCTCTCAACCGCCGGTCTACATGCGTCAAAATTATCCAACCAAGTTCTATCGAGTTACGTCTGCTATCGACGTCGTAGACCAAAGTACCAGCAGGCCACGCGCGTTTCAACGCATGAGCAATCAAAATCAGAATATCAGACCCCACGGTCGCTAGGAACATAGTCAGTGAGGACTAATACGCAGGACTATGCAACGCACCGAACAAACCAAAGGATTTCATCATTAAAACTGCGCCAACCCGACGTCGTAGTTGTAAGCACGAACACGAGGTGAAGGGCGCGCTTGAAACAGCGCCCCGTGATGGACGTCGGACATCGCACCGGTTGCCAAATACATCCGCATGACCACGTGTGATGTGGATCGAACATAAACATACGGTCCACTCAGAAGACATAACTGGCCTGACGATATCAGATAGTACATAATACCTAGAATATGTTCTAATCAGCGCGACCCACTACAGATGGTAGCCAGGTACAAAAGCACATCAAACTCGACACACGCACGCCATCGCACCAGGGAAAACATACGCGTATATATACGTACATCGAACCACAACAGGTCCATGAACACGATCGCGTGTGACTAACGACCATGACGCACGTCACGTTTCCGCAGCTGCCGCGCCGCTGATCGTGACGGAGACTTCGATCTGAACCCCGACCTTCATCATGCAGGAAACGAAGCCAACATGCGACGCATGCGGACAGCCGAACGCAACACAGTCATGCAACTCCTGTCGCAAAGTGCGGTACTGCGTAAGCAACATGTTGATGCTTCTGCCATCCCTATTGACTCGGCCACGTCACACTAGAACGCTGCTTGTCAACATGCACAATGGAAATCCCACAAGATGGAATGTAGCGCGATAGGGCTACTCACGAACGCGCATCAAGGCGTACTGACGGCCATGAGCTTTGAAGTACCTCGTCCACAATGGAAGTCCAGCATCATTCCTCCCATATGCCAGACACTCGGACTACCTATACGCATATGGATGCTGCCAACGAACGAGACTGCCGCCACAGAGATAGTAGCGGAATACCCAATGATGCACGGTACCGAGGTTACGATTCATCGCGTACGTGATTAGCTTGCTCTAAGATAACAATCAATGACATACTACGACAGAAACAATCTCATATAGCAGACCTAATGACTGATCCCACAACTAAAAAATGTCCCGATATATGGCGATACATAAGAAATGTACGTGTCGCAATATCTGGACATGCACATACGTTGACAAAAACTTCAGGTCGTCGTGTTCAGTACAAAGGAACCCTTGAAACTGGCAACTCTAGAACTGCTAGCAACGTACTGCTATCAGACATCAATCGACAACAGCCAGCCCAATCGCAAGGACTTTGACGCGTTCTGCATCACGCACAGGTCAGAAATACTAGAATCCGAACAAGAATATAGTACGAGATTTTTCGCCTTCAAAGAGCTACGCCTGCCATTGTGAGGTTGTCATGCTCGCGGGCGCCGCATATGTAAATATCATCTGCACCTTGCATAGCCACTTAAGGTTAACACAACCGTTCAGATCCGACAGTGTGTACGCGTATGACACGAAGCGCGTATCGGACGTTACGTTGGGAACACCCTAGCTTCGCGTAAGTGTACGAGAACTGGTTGCGGCATAAGCACCCCATAGCCCAGGCATGAGTTAGATACAGGCATGTCGACAATGGTAGACTCTTACTCAATTGTCAAATGAGACAGCGGGTAATGATGAGCGGCGTGAGTAAGAATGAGAGCGAAGTAGCGATCTAATGAGCACGGCGCGAAATGATCAATCAGCCGTCAGTCCCGCTTGAACGACATAGCAAGGCCAATGTATGTGATATCCGTGGCGAGTGCTTCTGCCTGGTGTCGCATTTCTGCACGTCATTCGAACCGGGACTTTGGGCTCCCAGGCGAGACTAGCAAAAATACACTGGACGCTGGCACGACGGGAAGTAGTGACTCCGAAGCACAGTGAACTAAGGTAATCAAAACAAGAACACGACATAGAGGGCCACCGTACGATAACGCTTCTGTCATCCCGATACATGAAAGACCGGCAGCATTCACGATAAAATGAGCTACATACGATACCTCGAAAAATCTGAGTATCCGTGAAGACGACTCACGGGTGGTGATAGACAGCAGGGCACGCGAATAATGAACGCAGAGCTGAACGCTGACTCGTGGCACCTCGAGTAATCACGTTTATTGGTTCTTTTCCTACTGAAGGGTGCATAGAGACTAAGAACCGGCGCGTAGGCATGGCGTGTGATGTGAGGACACCCGATGAAGAGGTTCTAGCACCACGGTGGGCCGGGGTGACCCGGAAGGAGGAGAGAGGGATGTAGATGAAGAGGATATAGGAGGAGAGGGAGAGAGAGGGAAGGAGGAGGGAGAGGGAGGGAGAGTACAGGAAGATGGAGAGGAGGACCGGGAGGAGGAGGAGATGGCGGGGTGAGAAGATAGGGGATCGGGCCGGAGCGCGAGCGCGTCGCGCGCCACATGTACTTAGTAGTAGACACAACACCACGACCAGCGGTGCTAGAGCATCTATAGAGGCACCGGGCCCTCCCCAACGGGAGGGAGGAAATATAGTACGAGTGCGGAGCAAAAGGTACCTCGTACATTACTCAGTGCTAGGGCGACAAAAGAGAGGGTCCGAGCGCAGAATCAGCGAAGGTGACGTGCGACGAGTTCATGTGAGTGACGGCACGACAAATGAACGCAAGGGAAAAGAGAAAATTTATACTAGGCACGGATGTACGAACATAGGGGAAGGGGAGGGGAGAAAGGTTGGGGGAGTCGACAGGATCACGAAATAGGAAAAATGGAAGCGATGCGATATCTGCGTCTAGGTAAGGGAGGTGAAACGAGCAAGACGGGGAACGAAAGGCGCGAGTCGATGACAGGTACGGTATATGCTGGTGCGAGTCAAGCGCTGTGTCCGCCCACCACGCTGTGGCCGTTCAAATACACGCCCATCGTACTCAATATGCTGTCGGTCAAACTCCGTAAGACCTGCACCACCCGCACATCGCCGAGTTGCCGCCACCTTCTTGACTTTCTCCCTCTCTGTTTCGGTCTCGGGCTCTCCTTCTGGTTAGTATATTCCCAACAACAACACTCCCTCAGTCGATGCTCTCCTGCTTGTTC